AGGTATGAATTATGTAATGGTTTAATGATTAACATTTTTTATTAATAGGTTCATCTACTCAACCCTCTATTGGTACACGTGGTAAATATAATGGTACATCTAGTACTAATTCTAAAGGTATGAATTATTTAATGGTTTAATGATTAACATCTATTATTGATAGGTTCATCTCCTCAACCCTCTATTGTTACACATGGTAAATCTAAAGGTACATCTAGTACTAATTTTAAAGGTATGAATTATGTAATGGTTTAATGATTGACATCTATTATTGATAGGTTCATCTCCTCAACCCTCTATTGGTACACGTGGTAAATCTAATGGTACATCTGGTACTAATTCTAATGGTATGAATAATTTTATGGTGTCATTACTGACTAACACCTTTTATGGACAGGATCATCTCTTCAAGCTTCAACTACCAGATATGTTGCATTTAGTTCAAAAGGTATTACTAATTGTAAAGGTACATGTACATGTGTATTTGACTAAAAAAATTATGAGATAAATTAACAGTAAGGGGGGAGCCTAGCAAGCAAAGTAATGTATGCATGTATAGCATTGACTAAGCATGTACACATAGATAATTGTAAGCAGTCTCACTACACAGTAATGTAATAGTATTTAGCTAGCAGGTCCAGGCTTGGTCAACTATACATATACCTAGCTCTCATTCTAGTAGGCAGCTTGAAGCTTTAGTTAATATATGTAGGTTCATCTCCTAGTCATTTATTATCTGTTACTTGTACTATACAAGACAGCTCTCAAGGTATAGGAGATAGTGTAAAATGGATAAGATATTAATAATTGTTATCTTAGACACTGCTTCTGATTTTGATGAAAGCTCTGGAGGTATCTATTCATAATTGTCCATTGCTTGTACATGTCTTTCATTAGAATCTGCCCTTCTGTTTATTAAGGTAGATATAGGGAACTGGTATATAACAACTTTAATGCATGCAAAAATTATATAGCTTGCATTGCAATATTTTATACAAATGTATGTAATACTATAAATTTCAATTACAACTGTTTTTATTAATAGGATACTGTTGGTCTGGTGGAAAAGATATCGGGAAAATGATTGCGTGTGATAATGTACTTTGTGAAACTGAATAGTTTCATTATGAATGTGTAGGGATAAGTTGTGCTCCAAAGAGAGCATGGTATTGCTCAAATAAATGTCATTTCTCTCGAAAATAACTCTTTTATAACTGTTATTATTATTAAAAAATAATTTAAAAATTATTTGGGGGCCTGTCCGATTATCTGATTAATTAACACATAGATACTAAGAGAGGGTTGAGGAGATGAACCTATCAATAATAGATGTTAATCATTAAACCATTACATAATTTATACCTTTAGAGTTAGTACTAGATGTACCTTAAGATTTACCATGTGTACCAATAGAGGGTTGAGGAGATGAACCTTTGAATAATAAATGTTAATCATTAAACCATTAAACAATTCACACCTTTAGAATTAGCCCTACTCCTACCACATGAGGGCTGAGAAGCCACTCCTAATGAAAAAGAT